ACGAAAAAAAAGCAAGCAGCAGCGCTGGAATCCATCCGTTGAACAGGTGAATTAGCTCTGGCCTAGTAGCAGAAAGGATAGCGTACTTTCCTTCATTTAAATGTAGAACTACTGAATGGATGAAGTTCAGAGGGCTGTCTTCCTTTTTTGGTTCTCCTGAGCCGTTCGATTGCAAAAGAAAGAGGTAAGTAGTAAGAAAGGGAAGAAGACGATTGAGCCCTTCGCTTTATTTCAACTACTTCACTTGCGTTATTTGCAAATGTCCCGTCTTGTGACTCGAGACTCCCCTGTGATCTAAAAATAACGAGTTTGCGTTTGTGATGGCAACTTGATGCGACTTCTGGCTGATTCCGGCCCTGTGTCCTCTGTTTCCTCAATTTCTAAATAAAATTTATTTTTCCATACTCTCACAGATATGGGTGCTCCTCGAACCCTTAACCCGAGTAACATGTCGGTTCACAGATATGTTCGCTAGGCCCAAAAGTTATGTCTTTCCACTGTATCTCGTCTTGAAGTCATTCGGTCGATCGTTTTTCTCTTGTATCCTTGTGCAGTAATAGATTTAGAAGTCTTCTGCTAGATTTTTTCTGGATATTCTTTTTTTGTCCCGAAAGGGCCAGCAGCTTTTAAGCTAGCAATAGTTAGCCGTCTAAATAATGTAGATATAAGGCATCACTATTGCCACCTTCACAAATATTTATTCGCCTATGGGGATTATTCTGTTTTGTTCAATTTTCATATCGTTGCCTGTTTTATCAGCCGTCGAGTAGATTCAAGTAGACTTTGAGATTTTTGACCCAAAAAATGTGGGCCCTGGAAAATAATAGCTTCGCAGTATGACCAAAAAGTCATAAATTGAAGTTTGGCTATCGAACCGACATATTACTGATGTGCATTTAGCGATGTTTCGGTTGCTCTGTCTTTCCTTAAGTCTTCATTTTCTCTTCCTCGGGGAATTACCAAAATATGAGACTTACAGCTGATTCAAGGACTATCCAAAGTATGGTGTTGCTAAATATTGATCACTTGTTGTAGTCCAATTCTTATCACACCGCCTACTTCTAGTACGCATTAAAGAAGATGATCGTACGAATCACAGAAGATGGTATGCCGCAAAGTATCATACGCGAAATTTCGGCCCTGCGAGCTCTGCATAATTTGGATAATCCAAATATTGTCAAGTTTGTTTAAAATTGAATTTATTCAGAATGAGCCTGTTTTTGAAATTACTGGATTATCTTTATCCCATCCCCGTAAAACTTTTCCGGATATCCACCATATAAGCATTTGTGTTACTGGCAAATGTTATTCGTGGTCACTTATTGAAAGAGAGAATCTTAAATGTAACTGTAATTAGGCTTTCATAGGCTGATCCAGGGCGGTTTTCCGGAGGGAAGTGGGGCGGGGGAGGGGGTTTTCAGCCTCCCGTTCTCCCTTCGTCACTACGCCTTCCTCCCCCCTCGGCCAGCTCACAACCCATTCCTCGATCGTCGCGCTACCTCCTCCCCCTCCCCCCTCCCGCTCCTACTGGTGGACACTAAACTGAGAGTGGCGGAGCTCCTGGGGAACGGGGGGAGAAGGGGGAGGGGAGAAGGGGTGCCGAAACACACTTTTGTACAGTAAAACAACTACTACCTGAGCACCTGGAGAAGGGGAGGGGGGAGAGGATAACAAAAGGCCCCTCTTTCCCTCCTCTCTCCTGGATCCACCAGTGTTGGTTTAACAAAGTGAAGTCATTCTGAGTCGTTTTCCGACTGTGTCCGTCCCTCAGGATACGTATATGATCAATTTTTGGAAGAGAGAACCCCGCTATTTTGTTTGGAGCAGCAATCGCATTTTTTAACAAATTAATATCACTCCGAATCGTCTCCCGATTGCCTCCTTCCGACAAAATACAGTGGGAGGAAGGGGGGGGGGGGGGGAA